AGCTGCCTTTCATCCCGTCGCATTGCATCTGCTCCCCATGTGTCGTAGGGGAAGGCAGATGATGTGAGAGATTTCGGGACTCTTACAAGAACCGTGTCACCATATCGCCCATCCTACAAAAAGGAGAACCCAAATGCTGCCTTAGGGCAAACATGCTTTGTTCCTTCGAGTGACGATGCTTCGTGCACGGTACATGTTGACACGGTACATACGACATGATGGATCAAACGGCATGTGGGGAAGTCTCTTGAGCACTTGCTGTCACTTGATCGTTGGTTAGAGTCGAGGCTGAAGCAACATGACGATACGGTACAAAGTCGGACATAGCTTAACCGCCGAACTCATGTTCCACACGCCTTTTGACTCTATGTATATGTGCCTGGTTCCACAGCTGCAGATTGGCAGGGCATCGTGGCAGCCTTCGTGTTGGCAGTCCTCACTGGGCGCCTCTTTCTGCTGGACTGCCCGGAGATACCCTTCCTTCAGTTCTCGGTGGTTCTCGGTGGTTAGGTAGGAATCGTCCAGGACTCTCCTGATCCCTGGGACCTGCGACTCTTCCTCGAGCTGGGTACACAGACGTCCACAGCAAGCGCAGACACGTGAGCTGGAACATGGGCAGAGTACGTGGGGTGGGGGGGGGGGGGGCTGGGGGTGGTGGGTCTGAGCCCTTAGATCCCCGAACATCAAGGCCGGCACTGCTGGACTGGAGATCTGCCCCGGATCTCAATGTCAGGAGCCACAGGGCACCCAAAGAAAGCTGCCCTGTCTCTGAGGTTGGACTCGCTGGCCTCGCATCTGGCAAGTCTGCATCCAAGGGCGATGCGAAGTGCTTGCATCTCTTCGCTAAGCCAAGACCCAGGCATGTCCTTTGGGACCATGATCTCTTCGAGGACCTCAGCTCAGCATCTGCATCTGAGACCTGCCGGAAGAACAGATCGGTGCTCAGCATGCTATGCTTTCTTCCTAGGAGACGTATTTGCGTCAGCTTCTGGAGACGGAAGAGGAAGATCCAGTTTGGGTCTTGTACACCAACAAGAAATCACTACTCGGGCCGCAAGCTTGAGGTGACGTATCTTCTGCCCATGTCCGGCCCGCCCAAAAGAGCCTAAGCTGAGGCCTATTCTTCGGAGCCCATGGCTTGCAGAGCGTGCGAAAATGGCAGGGATTCTGGAGATCCCTCACCTGACCAAGCAGGTGGGCTTGAGGAAGTCCGTCGCGGCTGATCCGTCAAGAAACCAGGTGTGGTCTCTGCTTTTCCGACCCACGCAAGCTTTGGAGAAGCAATGGCGGAAGCTTCAGAAAGAGCTCGGGGAAGGCCTGGGGGGGGGGGGGGGGGGGCTGCAGAAATCCAGAGCAGAGAGACTCAATTCAGGCTACATTGCTTTACACCATCGTGCCGGTGACATCACGGCTGGCTTCGGCATGGTCAACGGAGAGGCTTGCGGCCTTCACGGAGAGCCACTCAAGAGAGCGTTGTGCCGAAGGTCGACATCCGCAGTCAAAGCCGGATGGAAGTGTTGAACCTTCTGACCTGCGCTCACCACCTCGAGCAGCATCTGGAGCTGCCCCCCTCGACAAGGTCTCGCCCAAAGTGAGACCCAGTGAGCTTCGAGGAAACACGAGTTTTTGCAGGTGGTATCTGGCTGCAGACACTCCAGCTGTCATGGAAGTGCCGCAGGCATAGGGCACGGCAGTGTATTTCTTCTCGTCCTTCTGTGCAGTTCCTTGCAACCTGCTAACAGGTACAGACTTGGCAGAGCTCAGGCAAGCTAGTCGTCCGGAACGTGAGCAGGCGGAGTTTTTGTGTTTCAGGATGCCCCAGCCGCCGGTTTTGTCAAGATGCTTGTATAGCTGTTGAAGAGATTTGCTGATGTCGAAGCAGCAAAGATGGTCATGAGAGACATGATCCTTATTCACCCCTGCGATTTTGAAGGCGTGCTCACTTGGTGAAAGAGGGCCTGGTCCCACCCTGCGGATCGCTGGGAGAGAAGGCTACATGTGTCTACATGGCTTTACAGGGGTCGGCATCGGAAGTAGATCTAAACAGGCTGATGTCCAGCGATCTCCCCTGTGAGTGCCTGAGGCTGTGCTTGGAAGCCTCTGATTGAAGCATAGAGCGCCGAGGCATGCTGTTCCGGCTGCGGAATCTTTAGCTCGCGTGGGTGATGCCTGGGCGTGGGCCTCAGTCCAATCAATGCTATGATCGTGCCACTTTTTCTGGCTGCACGCCGGCCAAGGTGGACTTCCTCACCATATCTCGGGCAGCAGCAGCTGTACTATCATCAAGCGCCTTTAGCACAATGGCAGCCGAGGAGCGCGACATCTGCAGCAGGCTTACTTAAGCTACGATTCCCCTCAATCTGCCAGAGGCTTCCGGATTAGAACACGCCTTCCACTCGCACGGCTGCGTGCGCTTGCTGCCTTTGCACAACGGCGTTTCGGCGATGCATTACCAAGATTCACCCTGACCATTGAATAGCTTTAACCAGCAAATCAAGAACAAAGGCATAGGTACATGGATAGGTAGATTCGTAGATCGGCAGATAGATAGTTAGATATCTCAAGACTGAAACGGTTGATTCCAGCCAGCCAGCCAGCCAGCCAG